GAGGGGAAGGAGGGAGAGGAGAGAGGAGAGAGGAGGGAGGGAGGGGGAGAGAGGAAGAGGGAGAGAGAGGGGGAGGAAGGAGAGGGGGAGAGGGAGAGAGAGAGGGAGAGGAGAGGGAGAGGAGGGAGAGGGGAAGGAGGGAGAGGAGAGAGGAGAGAGGAGGGAGGGAGGGGGAGAGAGGAAGAGGGAGAGAGAGGGGGAGGAAGGAGAGGGGGAGAGAGGGGGGAAAAGAGAGGGAGAGGAGAGAGGGAGGATGAGGGAGAGGGGGAGGAGGGAGGAGAGGGAGGGAGGAGAGATCATCCAACAGGATGTAGCAGTCAAAACTTATTACAGGTAGTCCTCAACTGACCACTTTCTTAATGATCATTCCAACTTACGACAGGACTGAAAAAACTAACTTGTAACCAATCCTTACACTTAGGACCGTTGCAGCACCCCCAGTTATGGGATCAAAATTTGGGTGCTTGGTAACCAGCATGTTTTTACAGCCTTACAGAGTCATGTGATCCCCATCTATTACCTTCTCAGGGGGATTCGAATAAAAAAAGTCCATGGGAGCAACCAGATTCGCGTAACAACCATGTGGGATACTTAACCACTATGAATCACTTAATGTAATATACTTAACCACTGTGAATAACCACCATAGCAAAAAATAAATAAATCAGACACTGACTCACTTTATGACCTCATCGCTTAGGAATGGAAGTTCTGATCCTATCTGTACTTGAGAAAACTGGGCCAATTCCTGAATGTGTGAATTGGTTAATTAACAGGAGTAAATTATTCATTGACTAAGATAACCGCCGGTCAACTGGATTCTCCTTTCACCCATTGGGGTGAAATTAGATGCAGTCTTATACAATTTACTCTACATTATACGGATATATTTTCTCTTCCTCACCTGCCACATTCATCATAACCATATAAGATAGGACCTTGTAAAAGTAAGAGAGTCTGGTTTGTTCTTAAACATTTTAATCACTCTTTAAGTAAATAAAACAAATTTGTTGAACAAAACGTATGCTGCATTTTTAAAGCAGCTTCACCTTACTAAATGAATCCCATTTTTAAACATTTTTCCCCATCTGATTTCAGGCTCATGGTTTCCAAAAAACTACTATCAAGATTTCAAAGAAGATGTGGTGGAAAAATACTAAAATGATCATAATTATAGCAATAATATTCATCATTGTTGTTATTTTTATAGTTCTTATAGCCACAGGAGTTATTCCAATGTAGGGAATGTTTAAACTACCTAATGTACAAAGTATTGTATATGGAGCACAAATTCAGTATTTATGTTGAAACCCTATTTTTATACATAAACTGCTCGTTTTACCCATTAATAAAGTAGCTCATGCTCCTTCTTCTATTTGGAAGAGTACTTTCTTGCAAAGTGATAGGCTATTCGATCCAGTCCTTACACAAAAAACCTGAACAAAATTTCTTATTGAATTTAAGAAGTAACTTTTCCAATCAGAATTGGAAAGAGGTATCCAAATAGAATTAAAATTAAAATTAGTTTGTTGAGTTCTAGCCCTCTTGTAAGGTTTCCTTTAGTTTCCACCTACACAGATTAAATCAAGTATAAATTAAACTCTTGGTATTTCCCTCAA